CGGCCCCACCACTGCAGCTTCCACTTCTCAATGGACTCATCCTCTGAAGCGAGAGCCAAAAAAAAAAAAAAAAAAAAAAAGACTTCGTCCCTTGACTTGCTTCCTGCCAGGAATTTGGTCCCAACAATGCAAACAGTAATTAATACAACTACTTTCAAATCTTATTCCCAACACCTACACCTAGGCTGGTATCTCCTGTCTGCCCCTAATATGTGGGCCAATAAGATACCTAAGGAACCATGCCCACCCTCACGCACAGATGTGTATTTTACGTATTCAGAACCAGACCTAGCAAGGTTGTCCTTCTAAGGATGACCAGGACACAGTTGCCTACTATTCTGGCTTAGCTTTCATGAGCTGAAAGAGATGTCACAGTGGCTGCTCATGACAATGCCGTAAGGAAAAGGAATACCCAGGTTGTTTCCTTGTCTTGTGTTTCTCTCTCCTCCTGCCCACATTGGCTGAGCTTGTTGTGAGTACACTGACACAGAACCACAGCTAGAGATCCGTCCTCTTTCGTACACACCTCCCTTGACCGAACCCGTAGGTCAATTACCTGTGCCTTGGGTCCCTCCATCCTACATTTCACCTCCGCTGGCTGCATGACCCTGATCTTCTAATGAGCACTTGGGTGACTCTGGAGAAAGCAAGGCCACCCCTTTGTGACATAGCAGCCGGAGAAACAGTCAGATGCAAGGGGTCCCCCCCCCCCAAGAAATCTGCTGCATGCAGGAGACCCGAGGACCACACGCCGCAAGGGGTTTAGCCATTCATGAATGTCCATCCCCAGTCAACCATCTTTGGCCCATAGGAGGACTTAATTCTCTGGACAGCAGCAAGTGGACCACACGCTGGGGTTTCAGCTCCTGGGTTCATTCTCACACACATGGCTTCAAGGTCAACTCTAGTTCCCCACAGATATCCAGAGTGGTTATACACCACCATGCCATGAAGGGTCTCCTTTGGTAAGGTTGGATTTTTCTCGTAGTATCATCAGACCTTGAAAGGCTAGCACTGGAGGACCTGACCATCCAACCCAGCCCCTTCATTCAAGGCCGGAAGGGTCCCAAGGACCAGAGAGTCCATGTGTCCTCCCCAAGACACATAGTCAGGGAAAAACAAACAAACAAACAAACATGACAAGAATCTGAGCGGCTGACTTCTCTGTTCATTCTGTAAGGTTTGGAAACAGGGTAAGTTACATCCTCCTGTGATTGTCCGTCCCTACCTGAGGTAGGACCACATTGATTGGAATTTCTAGGCTTTCAGATCTGGTATCCCTCTTTCTTGTAAAATCTGGCCTCGAGTGCTGTAAAAAAGAAAAAAAAATTAGATTTCTCCTTTTCAACCCATCCTCGGGGCCTTAGTGGCTCACCTGAAATACATAACTACTTTCTACACATTTATGACCTCCTTACCAATTATACATCTTATTAAAAAATCACAGTCTAAAGGTATGTGTGGATGGCACCTGACCTGAAGAGTTACTGATCACTGAACAAAACTCAAGACAGGAATTAACTGATATTAAACTCTCCTGTCAGTCTTTGAAGCAGAGACCGCGGCAGCTCTCCCTGGTTTTAAACTATTATTTCTGTATCAAGTAAAAAAGTCATACCAATGTGAGATGCCAGGTATAGGTCCTATGCATAAGCTGGTCACCAAAACACTCAGAACATTCCAGGGGTGACATCACAGAACAATACGGTGTTTTTCTGAGCTCATGGTTCCTCTCTGAGCATCTCCAGTGGGAATGAGGCTTCTGCAGGAAGGAAGAATCGTCACTGGCTGTGCCTACGTGGCTAGCCTGGGTCAGTTTGACACACAATAGCCCTAACACTGGCCCTTGTTTGGTCAGCCTGGCTGCCCCTCACACCTCACTGCCAGGCTGGTCTGAAACTCTCCACCTCCCTTCATAGGTGGCATCTTCTCCAATGGCGTTACTTAGGAAAGAAGAAACATTAACTGTCCAGACCTGGGGAGGCTTGGCCCGACTCAGGGACTCTTCCGGTCAGTTCTACCCCGATACTAACTACATGGACTTGGTATTGGGTTCCAGCCCTACAAGATGACCTTTGACTTCAGGTACCAATCCCAGATTGGGGCCACCTATACTTGTAACTGGTTAGCGATGCAGGGGCTCCCCTGACCTTCTCCTCAGGCTCAATAGCTGTCTCTCAGAACTCAGGAATGCTTTACTTAGGATCACAAGTTTATCGTGAAGCATGCAGCTCAGGAATGGCCAAATGGTGGTGATAAAGGGAGGGGGTGATATTGGAGGGGGTAATGTTGTAAAGCTTCAGGCCTTCTCTGGACTCACCTGGCTCCCAGCATCTTCAGCCTCAATGTCTGAACCCTGTTGTTTACAGGAATTTGTGGGCTTTCGTTATGTAGGCAAATTGAATTAAATCATTGGCCTTTGATCATTTAACTAAATGCCAAGTCCTACATCCCCAGAGGGAGAAGTTTGCTGAAAACTCCAGCCTTCTAATCACCTGATTGGTCCCTCTAACAACTATCCCCATCCCCATCCCCCCACCCCTCCACCTCCCCATCCCCCACCCCCTACCCTGCCAAAGTCATTCAACTAGCTTCAACTGATGTGTTCCAAAGGAGGTCCTGTCAGGAAATCCCAAAGGTGTAAGAAGCCCTGTTCTGGTAGAAAACACAAGTATGCAATTATATCACATGTAGGAGCTACATCAAGGCCCCAGCACCCCGTCCCTCCATCCTTAGTTCTGACAAATCCATCACCTCCAGAGACATTCAGGAGAACTCCTGTGTGTATCCAGAGTCCCAGTTCTGTGTGGTTTTGCCCCTTGGGGTGGGAAGAGAGGGGTGACCTGAGGTTAGCAGACCCAGAGATGCTGGAACCGACTACTTGAGTCCCCCACACCCAAATTACAGGCAAATCTTGGTATAAGAAAATCCAAATATACAAAAGCTGAAAGATACACTCAGATAAAAATGCAAGTGGCTGATTCCATTGCCAAAGAACTTATGTCTACAGAGAAATTTCAAAGAAATTTTTTTAACTGTGTGTGTGTGTGTGTGTGTGTGTGTGTGTGTGTGTGTGTGTGTGTGTGCTGGTACATGTGGAGGCCAGATGTACCAACCTTGGGTGTCATCCCTCAGCTGCTATCCATCTTGTGTTTTAAGACACTGGCCTGGAACTGGACAATTAGATGAGGTGGGCCCAGGGAGCACCAGGGATCTGCCTGTGCCCACTTTGCCAGGACTGGTGGGGACAGGAGAGGGCCACACCAGGATTTTTAGGATTTTTTTTACATAGGTTCAGGAGATCAAGTTCTCGAAACTCACAACTGCGTAGCAAGTGCTTTACTGACCGAGCCATAGACTTGTTTACCTGATTTTGAAACTGAGATCATAAACACACAGCACTGAACTTGCCGTCTTTGCCATTTTAAAGCGTATAGTTCAATAGTGTTGAGTATATTCACATTGTTGTGTAAGAGCATCTTGGAAAACCAGGACTTCTATTAAGCACTAATTCTCCCTCTTCCTTCTCTCCAGCCCTTGGCAATCACATTCCTATTTTCTGTTTCTATGATTTAAGCTACATTAATGTCTTAGTTAGGGTTTCTATCCCTGTGATAAAGCACTGTGACCAACAGCAACCTGGGGACAAAAGGGTTTATCTTACACTTCCAGGTAACACTTTATCACTGAGCAGTCAGGGCAAGAACGAAGGCAGAGCCCATGGAGGGGGGCTGCCTCCTGGCTTGCTTTCATGGCTTGCTCAGCATGGTTTCTCACAGCACCGGGACCAGCAGCCCAGGGGTAGCACCACCCACAGCGATGTGGGCCGTGGCACATCTACCATCAGTCAGCTCCATGAGTTTGCCAGCTCCACGAGCTTGCCCCCAGGCCTGTCTTAGGCACTTCCTCAATTGTTTCCACCATCTTAGATAACTCTGGCTTGTGTCAAGTGGAAAAACCAGACAAGCAAATGACTACCCAGCACAATGAGATGTCTCACATGAGTGGAATTGCAGAGTATTGGTTCTTTCAGGATTTACCAAGTTGAGACAAATGTTAAGATTTCCTTCTCTGGAAAGGCTCAGTCAGGTTTCACGATATGCAGGGATCATCTGGGCAGTCTGTCCCCTGGCTGCTGGAAATAATACTGCGGTACACTTGAGTGTGCAAACATTCCTCGGAGATTCTGCTCTGAATTATTTTGGGTCCGTACCCAGAAGTAAAATTGCACAGTGACAAGGTAGTTCCATTTTTAATTTTGGGGGACACCCCCTCACTGTTTTGCACAGTGCCTGCATTATTTAACCTCCCCACCAACAGAAGACTTCCCGTTTCTCCACACCCTCACCAACACTCGCTGCTCTAAGTGAGTAATTCCTGTACTTCCTGAACATGTAACTCCATTTCTCCTCATGCACATTCCCCATAGAAGCACCTGCACACCCCTGGATGTGAGAAGAGTTCTGTTACCAGGGAGAACTAATGAATCGAGGCTTGGGGAGGGCGGGGGGGGGGGGGGGGGGGACGGGACGGGACACTCCCTTATACAAAATTTGCCCCTATCCCCTTGGCTCGAATATCTGCCAGCTGACACACAATTGGTACTTCTGTTGTGAACTGTCAATAAAGTGTTGTTCCAGAGCCGATGTGAGGGCCTCTTTGTCTGCTTGCTTGATGGATTGATTTTCACTTTCATTTTTAAAGAAAGAAACATTTAACCTGGGCCATCCCAGTCACTGCGTTTGCGCCTGTTACTACTCAGGGTAACACAACCATCAATCACACATGGTCCACAGACCTCCCTGTAGTCTGTGGGCGCTACACAGAGCACAGAGGTGGGTGGGTTTCCAATCTAGACAAACTGAACAGAGACAAAAGGCAAGCGTGCACCTAAGACTCGCCAGGCTCCTTCCTGTGGCTGCAGCTGTCTGATGATCTGTGATATGGAGTAGTCCATCAGCAAGAAGGCGGTCAGAGAGCCTGGACTCCTTCGCTTCCTCTAGAAAGTCACACAAGCCGAAGCTCTTGGCCAAGTAGCCAGAGGTAGGCATCAGATCTATGCTCTGACCTCTCTTGTCTTTTCATGCATGGGGAAAGGCATAGGAAACTCGGTAGGTATAGTAACATATCTTACACAGTGGGTGTACCACTGTCCTGTTTTGCTGTTTCTGTGGTAAACACTATGACCAAAAGCAACTTAGGGAGGGGAGGGCTTATTTGGCTTCCACATCCTGATCACAATTAATTGTTGAGGGACGCCAGGGCAGTAACTCAGGCAGAAACAGAGGCAGGAAATGTGGAGGAATCCTGCTGACTGGCTTGCTCGATTCCCTTGGCTTTCTTAGCTTGCTTCCTTATATGACCCAGGATTACCTGTCTCGGGGTGGCATCTCCCACAGTGCCCCCCCCCAATCATGAATCAAGAAAATGACCCACAGATAAGCACATAGAACAATCTCCTCTGATAGGGACAATGACAATTAATGTTCTCTCTTCCCAGGTGACTATACTTTGTGTCAAATTGATAAAACAACAACAAACACAAAAACAGCACAATTAGACCCTGTGATGGTTTAGATAACCCCCATAGGCTCATATATTTGCATGCTTAGTCCACAGTTGATGAACTATTTGGAAGAATTAGGCGATGTGGCCTTGTTGGAGAAAGTGTGTCCCTGTTGGAGGAATTGGGCTTTGAGATTTCAAAGCCCACACCAGACCCAGTGTCTCTGCCTGTTACCTGTGGATCAGGTTATAAAGCTCTCAGCTACTGCTCCAGCACCATGCCTGTCTGCTTCCCACCATGATGATAATGGACTCACCCTCTAAAACCGTAAGTAAGGCCCCAGTTAAATGCTTTCTTCTATAAGTTGCCTTGGTCATGGTGTCTCTTCACAGCAACAGAATAGTAACTAAGATAACTCCTTATCAACTTGACACAAATATGCATCACTATTTTTTTTATGTACATTGGTGTTCTGCCTGCATGTTTATCTGTGTGAGGGTGTCAGATCCCCTGGAACTGGAGTTAGAGACAGCTGTGAGCTGCCATGTGGGTGTTGGGGATTGAACCCGGGTCCTCTAGAAGAGCAGCCACTGCTCTCAACTGCTGAGCCATCTCTCCAGCCCCAATGCATCACTATTAAGCCACAACACTTTAAACATTTTCCTTTCTTGTTTATCCCCCAAATCTCAAGTTACTATCACAATATAACATGGTTTAACTTTTAAAAATCTCACAATCTTATAAAAATTCACTACTTAGAAGCTCAATATTTCTTTAAAATATTTGATATCTTAACTGTGGACTCATATAAAATCAAAAACAAGGAAATGTTTTTATTCCAAGAGGGAAGAAGCAAGGCACAGTTACAATCAGAAGAAAGCAAAACCAAAATCCAACAGAGTAAATGGCTCATTACCCAATGTCTGGGACCCATTATCATTTAAGCTTCAAAAGGCTTGGGTAGTCTCCTATCTCTGGATCTGCCATCTGAAGTACAGATAGCTTGTCACATAGGCTCAAGATAGCTGTACTCCACACCTGTCACTGTCATTGGTGGTCACCCCAAGATCCTGGCATCCCAAATAATCTGGGACTCCCACTGCCACTGAGACTGCACCTTCACCAATGGCCTCTTTGGGGACTCTAACTCTGCTACACAAGCCAAGCCCCAGCTTCTCTCAATGACCCCTTCAATCCTACAGCGTTCGTGCTGCTAAAACTAATACCATGTGGGAGACACTTAGACATTACCAAGCTTGGTTGCCAAACAGAGATGTGGCTATGCACCCCCCCACCCCCACCCCCACCCCCACCCCCACCCCCACCCCAGCTTGTGTGCTGCCTCTAAGGGAATGCAACCCAGATCTCCCCTCTCAATGGTATTGACTTCTTATTAATCACAGCGGATGGTTCAGTTCCAGCCAACCGGCATCAATTATCCCAATAAAGCAAAGGTTTCGCTTCCATCAATTTTTAATCCAAAATATCACAAATGGTCCAGATAGAGTCATTACTTTGCTCTGAAACTTCACGAGCCAGGCCTCCTTCGTCTGCATTTCCCTGGACATTTATATCTTCCAAGTTCCCACAGCAACAGCACAGTCAGCCCTGAGCACTTCCAGCCCAAGGTTGCAAACACTTCCCCGGGCTCATCTCAACGCTCCAGTCTCAGTCTCCTGTCACTTCGGGCCCCCTTTGCCCTCCTCTTCAGCAGCTCTCTTCAAGGTAAGTCTCCACCGAGCCTCCTCTTCCTCATCCTCTTCATCCCCTTCATTCTCACCAGCTCCCTCCTCCTGCTCCCTGGTTCCTTTCTCTCCTCCTCCGCTTCTTTCTTTCTGGTTTCCTCTCCCCTCTGCTTCTCCTCCAGACCTTTGACACTCGCTCTGAATGCCCCTCCCTGCTCTTCTCCACCGTGGTGCAGAGCCAAGGCTGGCGGGAAACTGGGGTCCCAAAGGGAGACACACAGAAGCTTCGGACCACGGAGGGTGACTGGGGCAGGAACTGTGGCAGTGGCAAAAGCCAAGGTGGCTGTGGATTATGATCATCAGTCACATTTGCTGGAGAACTGGAGGAGTTAGTGGAGGGAGAAGGCACTCTGAAGGGAGAGAGTTGACGCTCTTCCACCTCAGAAGTCACCTGAAGAGTAAATGCCTCTTGGTGAGAGCAGAAAAGAGACCACAGGCTAGATATCACCACCTGTGACACCCAAACTTGAAGACCTCTGTGTACAACTCCAAACCCTCATATACTAAAAACTCCAACTCTTTCCTGAAATTGATCAATCTGTTCACTTGATCCAAGAGAGAGGACCCTGATCCAAATGGTGACCAATGAAGGGGATAGAGAGATGGCTCAGTGGTTAAACACACTGGCTGCTCTTTCAGAGGACCCAGGTTTGATTACTAGCACTCTTGTGGCAGCTCACAACTGTCTCTAACTCCAGTTCCATACATACACTTAATGGTGTCTTGGGACTGTCCACTCCCCTCTCATCACAACCCCCTTCATTTTTTCAGCCAACAGAACTGACAAAAACACAGAGAGACGCATAGGCGACAATAAAGACAACCAGGGTGGCCACCACACAGACTTAAACCGGGGGATCTGGAGGCATCTCATCTGGATCCTGTACATGGAGATTTGGGCTGCACCCAGCCTTTCCTGAGTGTCCTTTCTAGAAAGCATCATAAGCAGACTCACCTTTGGAGGAGAGAAATCCAGGCAACTTTCGGTAATCTCCCACTGAGGGTGGAAGTGGTGGGAGCCTCTGGGATTGCAGGAGTTTCTGGGGCCCTATAACACCTCAGGGTGTGTACCCTAGAAACTCTGTTCTCAGCATCACTGCTGAGACTAGAGGCAGTCTGAGAACATTGGCCTCAGTCTTTGGTAATCTGACAGTGCCTCTAAACTGCTAAAAATTGTCTACCAGAGAACACACATGGACACTCTTGTTTTGTTTTGTTTTTGTTTTTTTTTTTTTTTTTTTGTTCCATTGGTTTTGGTTTTTTGAGACAGGGTTTCTCTGTGTAGCTTTGGCTGTCCTGGAACTCTCTTTGTAGACTCCAATTAAATGTTTTCTTTTATGAGAGTTGCCTTGGTCATGGTGTATTGTAGGATAATCTTTTTGTACACTGTGAAGATGTGTCTCTGCTAAGGCATCTGCTGATTGGTTTAATAAAGAGCTGAATGGCCAATAGCAAGGCAGGAGAGGTTAGGTGGGACTTCCAGGCAGAGATAGGAACTCTGGGAAGGAATCAGAGAATCAGGAATTCACCATCAAGACATGGAGCAAGTCAGATGTACAGTATGAAGGAGTGGTATGAGCCATGTGGCAGAATGTAGATTAATATCTCTGCCTTCGGAATGCTAGGATTAAAGGCGTGTGTGCCACCATTTTCTGGCCTCTGTATCTAGTGGTTGGTCTGTTCTCTGACCCCAGATAAGTTTATTAGGGTGCACAATATTTTGGGGGAACACACCATGGGATTTCCACTTCTCCTGTTGTCAGCCAGTCATTCTCACTGGTTAGAAAGGTGAAGCTGTTGGCACCAGATAATGATAGTGTGTGTGCAGCTCTATGAATAACTGAAAATCACTGTTACGTGCTTTTAAAAGAGGAAACTCACATATTAAAAAAAATCCCAATTTAAAAAATACTCTTTAGACGATTTTTGACCCCAAATCAAAGCCTATCTAAAACTTTTCTTCTAAAAAAAATTTTTTTAGACAGAATACCTTGACATGCTCTTCAATGTCAGACATGGCCGTTTCGTACAGACTGAGGGTGATGCATGCATAGATTGATGGAGATATTTTACAACACTGTTTTCAGACTGCCCTCTTCATTGGATATGCTTCTTTCAAAAACTCTTAGCTACTCATTGTTAAACCACCTCTCTAGCAAGAAGGTGGGGGTGGAGATTGTTTTCTTTCTTTTCAAATGGTCCCAGACAGCACCCTGTAAACAGCCACGTGTCACCACAAAGGCCTGCAATCATGGTGCTTGGTCCATAGCAAAAGAGATGGCTGCAAAACTCTCAGTGGCACTAGAGACTTCCAGATCCTTCTCTGTATCAACACAAGAGAGATGCCCAAATTTCACGCAACCATGTTACTTTTAAAAAGCAGGTGGGCTCCATCCACACTGTGCTATGGCGTGTTGTCCGTTTCAGGCCTCGCCTGCTCTGTGGCAACAGTTTGACCAGACATAAATCGCTATGGCTTTAAATAAATAAACGCACGGCAAATAAATTTCCCGAGTAACACCACCCCCATATGCCTCCAGCATCCTCTTTTAATTCCAGCCAAAGCAGCTACTCCATCAAATGTTATCTTCAGTCACTGCCCCTTCTGAGCATCGTCTCTAGTAGAGATGCTATTTACAGCTGAGAGCGTGTTTCTCCTGGCACGCTTTCTGTAGCTCATTCACAAATGTGTACGTTTTAGTATCGAAGCTGCATTTATGTTTCAATCAACAGTACGGCCGTCACTTCCTCGTTTGTTTCCATCACTCATCCCTGTCCAGTTTTCTCCGCATCCACCAGCAACCGTTGCAGCCAAGGATGAGAATTCACTTCATTCAGTCATTCAGGAATGATTTATGGAGCGCCTTGAATGAACCAACCGCTGTCTGAGGAAGTAATGAACAAAATTAAATTTTTATAAAGCTACACTCCTATCAAGAAAGGCCAATGACGGGCAAGTTTTAGAAATCACATACAAATTATCCAGTAGAATCTGCTGCGGATTGATTCCAGGACACAAATATCTTGCAAGCTTAATCAAGTCTGCCATATAAAATAATTGCTTATGAAATAGAAATGAACACAAAATAATAGTGTCTGAGTTAACCTACCCCCGTCTTTTACAGTTTGATCATCTTTGAGTTATTTATAATGTCCCCCAAACGATGGAAATAGTGATTAGATCAGACCGTTTAGGGGATGACAACAAAAAATTTCTGTACATGTTTAGCACTGACTCAAATTCTTCCAAATGTGTTGTTCTGCGCCTCTTGAATCCACAAATACGGAACCAGTATAGATGAAGGGCCGAGCTTACGTGGCACGAATGTGTACTCACAGGCAAATCCAGCTGCCTTCTGAGACAGCGGTGGGGCAGTGGGGATAGGCAGTTGAAGGGGCCTCTGAGGATGTGACTAAGATTGCCTGGGCCTTTGAGGACAGACTGCCAGCAGACAAGGCAGTAGCAGGAAGTCTCTGAAATAGAAGTCCTACAGAATTGACTACCTGGATCTAAGGTGGTCTACCTGGAGGCAGACTGAGGGGTGGGGATGTGGAAGAGTCAGAGGGTGGAGGGCAGAGGACCAAAGGCAGCCCAGGGAGGTGACAGAGGACTCTGGGGGCTAGAGTGGGGATTGTGGGTTTTATTCTGAGTGGCAATGGGAAGACGCTAGAAGGTGTTCATTAGACACGGCATGTGGTGATATTTTGTTTGTGCTCTAGCAAATAAATCTTGGGTGGAGATCAGAGTGTGGAGCTAGCCACTAGAGGCCAGGCAGTGGTGGCACACACCTTTAATCCCAGCGCTTGGAAGGAGGAAACAAGAAGTGATATGGATGGGCAGAGAGAGGAAGTGATACGGCGGGGTGGAGACAGGAGCTTGGCCCCTTCAGGCTGAGGATTCAGTAGAGGTAAGAAGTCTCTCTGGTGGCTGGCCCCTTTACTGATCTTTCAGCTTTCACCCCGATATCTGGCTCCAGGTTTTTAATATTAAGACCAATTAGGATTCATGCTACAATGGCAAGACTTGACATAGGTAGAGGAAAGGATTTCTCTGACGTCACTGGAGAATAGACAGCAAAATGATAAGGCAGGAGCAAGGGCCACTTTCAATTGTCTAGACCAGAAATGAACGCACAGAGTAAAGGTAAGAGGACCTGATAATCGGATTCTGGATGTATTTTGATGCAGAACCGGGGGGGGGGGGGACTTGCTGGAACTTGAGCTATAGGGTAGGAGAGAAGGGAGAGAGCATGCTGCACAGTTCTAATGTAAGCACTTGAGAGAGGTCATATTCTTGGAGTGGGATGGGGGTGGGGGTGAGGGAGGTGAAGGTGGACAGGGGTGGAGACACAGAATTCAGTTTGGACATGGACAGACTGTAGATAGGACTGAGTCTAGGGGTCAAGAAAAGAGTCCCTTGTAAGAGTTTGGAACTACAGGAAGGTGTTTGGGACGGAAATATCAATTTAGGATTTGTTAGTGTGTAAACGGGATTAGAAAAGCCTTGCCACTAGATTTTTCCCACTCATCATTTCACACGTACTTATTGTGGCGGCAAGAAGAGGTGTTCCTCTGGACAAATACCACTCTTTCTCCCCGACTACTAAGCAACAAACCCAAAAGACTCTCTGAAGCACAGCTTCCCATTACATTTACTAACATTTTAAAATACTGCATTGTACATGATTTAGATAGTTAAAAAAATGTAGTATACCTCTTTATAGTCTTTTTAGAAATTATGATGGCTTCAAATTCTCATTAGCCGGTATCCCAAGACAACACAGTTAGGTGAGGTTCATCGTTGGAGAATGTGGAGATAAATCTGTATTTGCACAGTACCTAGCAACTCCATTGTAAAAGAGAATGTTCCAGATCAGACACTGCCACTGCGGCCTTTTCTCTTGTCCATTCCACGTCCCTTGTGATTACACACTACCCACCCATCCCTTCTCAGAGATCGTAAGCCACATGTCCATTTTCGAATAGGTAGTCTAGTTATGAGCAGGTAACATCATTCCTGAATCTACTTTCTCAAGCACAGATAAACTGCCCCCCATCAACACAACGCTCAGAAGGGAAAGAGATGCTACTGAATCCTCGCAGAATCTCCTTTCCGTGAGGACACTCCCCCTATCAAGCAGGGACATTCCTTAGAGCCCTCAAAGATGCTGGTGTCTGTCCTTGAGTTATGGCACACAGAATTCAGTTTCCTTTTTTTTTTTTTTCCCTAGGAAAAAAAATCAATGGAAAATGGGGCTGGTGAGATGCCTCAGTGCTTAGAGTACTGGCTGTTCTTGCAGGGCTGGGTTCAGTTCCCAGCACCCACACGATGGCTCACAACCATCTGTAACTCCAGTCCCAGGGTATCTGATGCCCCTCCTCCAGCTGCCAAAGGCCCCAGGCACACACGTGGTTCACAGACACGCATGGACAGAAGCCGCTTTGATGGAGCCCCTTTCACTGATAAAGGAAGCCACAAATGAGGCCACTGTAGAGTCAGAATAGAAACAGCCCCAGCTTCTGAATCGAGAGACTCCCACCAACACCTCAGTTCCCACACTCCCAGAGACACCAAACAATGAAAGACAGCCGACATCCGCAACTTAAAGACGGAAACAAACGTTCAAAAGTCGAAGTTGTTCAAACTGAACACTTGTCTGGGGGCTATTTAAAAACTAAAACTGTGCTCGTTTTCTTCTCTGAAGCAACTGGTATCAAGTTTTGTATTTTGTTTGCTTGTTGCTGTTGTTTATTTGTTTGTTTATGTTCTCCAAGGACTAGGGAGATGGTTCAGTGGATAAAGTGCTTCCCATGCAAGGTCCAGAGTTCAAATCCCGAGAACCCACATGAAAGCTGAGTAGGCTTGTTGGACTGCCTGTAACCCCAGCACTCAGGAGGCAGAACCCCAGGGCAAGCTGACAGCTACCATACCCACAATTGGCAAGCTCTGGGTTCAGCAGAGAGTCAGCTTTGGAGAGAATGAGCAAGCCATTCAACTCAGTCCTTCTCCTAACGGCGGGTGAGTGTGTGTGTGTGTGTGTGTGTGTGTGTGTGTGTGTGTGTGTGTGTGTGTGTGTGTATGTAATGTCTATGGGTGTTTTGCCTGCATGTATGTCTGTGTACTGTATGGTACTTGGTGCCCATGGAGGCCAGAAGAAAGCGTTTGTGAGTCACCATGTGGATGCTGGGAATTCAGTCTG